TCTGCTCCCCTTTAGTTTCTTCCCTTTTTCCTTCCAGGGACATGGGACAATCTAAAGGAACTGCCACATCTCAGACATTCTACTTTGAACATCTGCATTGTTGAACCCCAACTAATTCCATGTGGACTCAGTCAGGTAACCAGTTTCCTCCTGGGAGCTAAGTTTTCCTCTCTGCTATCTTATTCAATCAGATAGTGGTTTCCTTACTGACATAATTTTGTGAATCCTCATCCCCTGGTGTCAGCTGTTGAGGAAAGGTCAAACTCCCTTCACATAGTGATATCTATGCCCTTCATTCACCCCCTCCCTTCCACATGCAGGCACAAATGTTTGCTCAGCTGTCAGCCAACACTAGGGCTTATATCTGTAGTTACCATCATTCCCTGGATAGTTCAGAATGCCCAGTTCTCTCTCTTCTACAGATAACTCAGCAAAGTTGTGTAGAGCTTACATAGGAATCTTTTATTTCTGGTTGTAATCTTGAGAAAAGATTTGACTTATTGGGGTAAAAATGGAAGCATAAAATGGTAGAATCAGTTAGACCTTGATTGCTCATGAATATTCACTAAATGCAAAGTGTGTGTAATCATCTAGTACAGACTTATCTCCTGCTACATAGTATAATCTTTACCTGTATTTTGTAAATTTTTACTGCATTATTGTAATTAAACCCAAGTTTTTAAAATTTATCTTCATTGTTGAAAGTATTACAGATGTTCCCCCTTTTTCCCCATTAAAGCATGATGCACAGTAAGACCAATCACTAAAGCACTGAGTATGAAACAAGGAAAAAGTTTATTTCAAGAGGCAGCTCAATGGGAAGACAAGAAGAAAGCTCAAATCTGCCTTTCCTATCCAATTTGAGATGGGTTTTTAAAGGGTTAGGGGACAACAGGTATGGGAAAGCACTGGTGGGGTGAGTTTTAATCGGAGGGCATTGGAGCTTGGCCATTTATAATGGCCCTCAGCACCAGATCTTCCTGGACAATGGACTCTTCACTCTTTGCCTCTGAAAGAGGTTCTGGTGTTTAAGTTCCTATTATGTCTGGGTCCATTGGATCAGTAGGAGTTGGGGGACAAGATTTTGGTTCCAGGTAGAACTAAAAGTCAAAGATCTTTCCTCTGCACGTGTTTTGGTTGCATGACTTGGTATATTTTGATCTGTTGTCTCTGAAAAGCAACTCAGTATTCTGTTAGAAATAGGATAGGACCATTTTGAGCTATTTCTGTGATTACATTATAAGGTTGCTATGTTCATACTGGTTTTACAGATGAATCTGGGGCTCAGAATGCTAAGTACCAAATGGATGTAAAGAATCGTTTTGGAGGTTATTGACTTGGACTGTGATAATGGTTTTACAGACACACACATATGCCCAAACGTATCAAACTGAATGTTTTTAAAACATGCATTTTATTTTATGCCAATTATGCCTCATTAAAGCTGTAAAAAAATAGAATGCTACATAATATGTTTGAGATAGCAGAGACAGAAAACAGTGCTTCTATCTTCTCTCAGAAATGTGTGTCCTACTCATCACACCAGGCAGCAGAGCAGACGGGGAAGAAGGCATGGACTGGCTGGAATGAAAGGGGATGGAATGAAAAGAGATGGAGTGAAAAGGTGTTTTAGTTTTCCCCAGAATACTAGCACCTCCTCCTGATGTGCAAACCAATTTAAGAAAATGAAGCCAAACTGTGGTACTTGGATCCCAAGTTGCCCAGGTGGATCCTTTTCTGTCATTTGTTTGTGGAGATAGAGATGCTGGTGGCATTGGCAGGTTCATCCCCAATGAGGTGTCTTCTAAAAAAGAAAATTCTGTGCTACAGCCTCAGACCACATCTCAAGCACAGAGGCAGATGTTAGTCAAAGGAGACTGGGATGACCATCAGCCTTGGATAGAGAAATATGCAAACTCAAAACAGCTGAGCTGTCACCTCTGTTCTGGCTCAGGCTGTGAGGGTCTCATTAGAGGTCTAACTCTGTAGCACATGTAGTAGATGCTCAATAATTATTTTTGGAACAAATGATGGAATGACTCGCCAATCCTAAAAGAATTAAGTCCAGTGGCTCTTTTACCATTAGATTTATATTCTAAAGTTACAACGCAATAGATGCGGTGCAATATTTATTTTGGAAAAAGGTAGAGATGAATGTCCAAACTAAAGTGTGGAGATGATGTGAAGATTCCAGTTCTCTGCGCTTCCCCTATGAGCTGAAGTCACATCATTTACGTCATAATCAGCTTTTCTCTCCAAAGACACTTTGCAGTAAACGCCTGGCTTTATTAGGGGCAGATTCATCGGCATTAGCTGACAAAATAACATCGCCTTAGCTTTCAGCTTGTTCTGCTTGTTTTCCCACAAAACTCAGCTCATCATAAATTCTCTAGAGAAATAATGCTCTTATTTTTGTAAATATTGATAATTAGTTATAGTTCACTATTTTATTGAGGAATAATGGAAGCTTCTAACACTAGCTACATTATACATTATAGGACATAAACCATGAGGTGTGCCAATATAATTACAAAATTTGTAAGAAAATGTTTTTATATTATCCCACTTTAAA